ACACTGGACTGTGAACCACATGGTTGGCCGTTTGAACTGGACCAATAAATAACATGATAATAAATGGAGAAAAAATTGAAGTTCTCAAAGACTTTATTTTGCTTGGCTCCACCATCAACGCTCAAGGAAGCAGCAATCGAGAAATCAAATGACGTATTGTATTAGGCAAATCTGCTCCACAAGACCTCTTTAAAATGTTCAAGAGCAAAGACCAATTCGAGGACTAAGGTGCACCTGATCCAAGCCATGGTATTTTCAATCACCTCATATGTATGTGAAAGTTGGACAGTGAATAAGGAAGACCGTAGAAGAATTGGTGCTTTTGAGTTATGGTGTTGGAGGAGAATATTAAAATGACCACGGACTGTCAAAAGAACAAAGAAATCTACATTGGAAGAAGTACAGCCAGAGTGCTCCTTAGAAGTCCAGGCTGGCCAGACTTCGTCTTTCATACTTCGGACATGCTATCAGGATGGACCAGTCCCTGGAGAAGGATATCATGCTTGTTAAAGTGGGGGGGGGTCATCAAAAAAGAGGAAGACCCCCAACAAGATGGATTGGCACAGTGGTAGCAGCAAGGGACTCACAAGTAACACTTATGAGGATGACGCAGGACCGGGTAATACTTCATTCTATTGTGCATAGAATTGCTATGTGTTGGAATTGACTGGACAGGACCTAAAAACAATGGTCTACACACAGAAAGTCAGACTGTTCTGGGTTCAGATCCGCCTCCGTCTTCCTCTTTTTCCGACGACCCTCCATTTAACAAGCATGATATCCTTCTCCAGGGACTGATCCATCCTGATAACATGTCCAAAGTATGAGAGACGATTTTACCTCTTTGGGCCTCAGTTTCTTTAACTGTAAAATGGGAATAATGATCATACTACATGTCTCAGAATGTTATAACCCAAAAGCTACTGCCTTTGAATTTATTCCAACTCACAGCAACCCTATGGGATGGGGTAGAACTGCTCCCTAGGAGTTCTAATACTGGGAATCTCTATGAGAACAGACAGCCTCATCTTTCTGCTTTGGAGCAGCTAGTGGGTGTGAACTGCCAACCTTGAAGTTAGCAGCCTAATATTTAGTTCACTGTGCCACCAGGGTTCCTTTATAATGTGACAGTGAGGATCTAATGAATTAATTCATAGAAAGCACTCAAAATAGTGCCTAGTATATGAGGACGTTTCAAAAGATTCATGGAAAAATTCTATTATCTTTAAACTCCTTTTCCCATAAACGTTCTGAAGCCCTGGATCTTGGCTGAAAGCAGAGAATCTCAGAAGGATGTTTGTTGTTGTTGTTAGGTGCCATTGAGTCAGTACCGACTCATAGCTAGCTTACGCACAGCAGAACGAAACCCTGCCGATCCTGGGCCAACCTCACTACTGTTGCCACACTTGAGTCCATCGATGCTGCCACTTGGCCAATCTGTCTCATTGGAGGTCTTCCTCTTTTTCTCTGATCCTCCACCTTACCAAACATGATATCCTTCTCCAGCGACTGGTCCTTCCTGACAATATGTCCAAAATATGAGAGACGAAGTTTGGACATCTTGGCCTCTAAGGAGCACTCTGGCTGTTTACCTGTGCTTTATTGACTACGCAAAGGCTTTCGATTGTGTGGATCATGACAAGCTATGGACAATATTGTGAAGTATGAGTATTCTGGAACACTTAATTGTGCTCATGAGGAATCTGTACATGGACCAAGAGGCAGTTGTTTGAACAGAACATGGGAACACTGAATGGTTTAAAATTAAGAAAGATGTGCGACAGGGTTGTATTCTTTCACCATACTTATTCAACCTGTATACTGAGCAAATGATCTAAGAAGCTGGGTTACAGGAAGAAAAACGTAGCATTAGGATTGCAGGAAGACTCATTAACAATTTACGATATGCAGATGATACAACCTTGCTTGCTGAAAGTGAAGAGGACTTAAAATATTTACTGATGAAGATCAAAGAGCACAGCCTTTGGTATGGATTGCATCTCAATGTAAAGAAAACAAAAATCCTCACCACTGGACCAATAAACAACATTCTTATCAACGGAGAAAAGACTGAAGTTGTCAAGGACTTCATTATTCTTGGATCAACTATCAACACTCAAGGAAGCAGCAGTCAAGAAATCAAACGACGTATTGCATTAGGCAAATCTGCTGCACAAGACCTTTTTAAAGTGTTGAAAAGCAAAGATGTCAGCTTGAGGACTAAGGTGTGCCTGACCCAAGCCATGGTATTTTCAATAACCTCATATGCATGCGAAAGTTGGACAGTAAATAAGGAAGACCGTAGAAGAATTGATGCTTTTGAGTTATGGTGTTGGAGAATATTGAAAGAGCCATGGACTGCCCATAGAACCAACAGATCCATGTTGGAAGAAGTGCAGCCAGAGTGCTCCTTGGAGGCCAGGATGGCCAAACTTCGTCTCTCATACTTCGGACACATTGTCAGGAGGGACCAGTCTCTGGAGAAGGATATCATGTTTGGTAAGGTGGAGGGTCAGAGAAGAAGAGGAAGACCCCCAGCGAGATGGATTGGCAAAGCGGCAGCATCAATGGGCTCAAGTGTGGCAACAATAGTGAGGTTGGCCCAGGATCGGGCAGTATTTCATTCTGCTGTGCATAAGGTCGCTATGAGCCGGCACTGACTTGATGGCACCTAACAACAACAACAACAACCCTCATAAAAAGGGACTCTGGTAGTGTAGTGGTTATGAATTGGGCTGCTAACCTCAAGGTCAGCAGTTCAAAACTTCCCGTTGTTCTGTGGGCAAAAGATGAGGCTTTCTACTTCTGTAAAGATTTACAGCCTCGGAAACTCTGTATAGGGTCACTATGAGTTGGAAACAACTCCATGGCACATACCCACCACCAGCAACCACCCTCGTAAGGTAAAACCTATAAAAGCCAGGATAACAAATCTTTTGAGACCCCAAAAAACAAACCAGTCCAACTGAGTTCCAGCATTCACAAGTTTCACTGTATCTAGTAAGTATGTGTTGTTGTTAAGTGCTATCCAATGGGTTCTGATCCATAGCGACTCTGCATAGGGTTTCTGAGGAGCGGCTGGTGAGCTTGAACTGCCAACCTTACTGTTCAAACCGTCTGCAATCCAGCGCATTAACCCACAGTGCCACACCACCACTCCATGGTAAGTATGTACAGAGCACCAATTGTGAGGAGGAATCAGGACTGGTCATATTTCATTCTGTTATACATAAGGTCAAGGAGCTCTGGTAACATAGTGGTTACAAATCAGGCTGCAAACCTGAAGGTCTGCAGTTTGAAACTAGAAACTGTTCTGCAGGAGAAAGATAAGGCTTTCTGCTCCTGTAAAGATTTACAGCCTTGGAAACCCTGTACAGGATCGCTATGAGTGGGAACCGACTCCATGGCACATAACAACAACAACATACATAAGGTCACACTATAAGTTGGAATGGATTCAACAGCACCTAACAACAGTAAACAGAAAAAATGATCCCTGGCTGCCAACCTAAAGGTTGGTGGTTCAAACCCACCTATAGGCACCCAGAGAAAAAGGCCTGGAGATCTGCTTTCAATGGGTCACATAACCTTGAACACTCTTTGGGGGGCAGTTCTGCTTTGCACACATGAGTCTGGATGAGTGGGAATCCAACTGGGGGCAGCTAACACCGTCACCACCCATCTGTGAGAGGAGGCTGGAACGATTGAATGAAAAAGAATCTGCAGAATTTTCAGACTAAGGCAGACAGACTAGGAAGAAAGACCTGTTGATTTACTTCAGAAAAGCAGCCAGTGAAAACCGTAAGTATTGCAACCAACCTATCTGAGTGGGATCTGCAACTGATCATGAGGATGGAGCATGCATTTCACTCGGCTGTACATGAGCTCACCATGAATCTGACCCACTCTACAGCAGGGAACAACCACCAATTTTTCTACCCACAAGTATGAATTAGTATATGGGTAGGAATTTCTGGTACCACGAGTCACGTGCATCTAGAATGTTATTAGTTATCAAATGACCTTTTAGGGGCTGCCTGCCCTATTAGCACACCCACCTCCAGAAGGCTTGGTTGGAATCGGTACATTGACCATGGCAGGTTTAGGAAATGACTTTCTTTTAGGAAAGGTGCTGACGTGGGCCTTCGCTAGCTCATTTCGCTCGGAAGCGGGTGGCCCCAGCTAGGCGTGGGGCACGGCCACACCTCTGTGGGGGAGGGGAGAGAGGCCGCCCTGAAGGGAATGGACAGCCCCCCTGTCAGTCTTCGGGAGTCGAGGATTGTAAACTGAGAAGGGGGAAGGTGGGCCTCACCCCGGGGAGGGCGAGGAGGAACTTCCTGCCCGTGCGCACCACCGCACTGGGCGCGCGCCGCGTCAAGGTCAGCTTTGAGGGGTGGCCGCCTGCCTGGGGGCGGGAGACCCTCCGGGGGGGCCGGACCTCTGTCGCCCAGCGCCTCGGCCATATTGAATAGCCCCGGCTGAGCCGTCTTTGTTTGGGAAGCAGCTCGCAAGTTCCAGACACCCCCTTGGTGAGAACGCCCGTGGACCCCAACTGGGAGCAGCTTTCCAGCTTGGCGCGGGGCTTGTAGCCTTGGGACAGACTCCCGCCAGCTCACGTAAGCGTCGTAGGACTTCGTTCCCACCAGCCCTTGGGGGGGAGCAGACTTGGCCAAGGCCGGCCTGGTTGCAGACAGACAGAGTGGGAGGTGGTGGCACGTCCCTAGCTGGAGAGTTGAGACTCTCCGGGAAGCATTCGTTGGGGCTTCTTGGCCCCCTACCCCGATTTCACCCTGGAGATCTTAAAGACGCTGGAGAAAAGCCACGTGGGGGGCTGGTTCCCCTGGGGCTTCCTGCCGTCCCCTGATTGCCTGATCCTTTGGAGTGTTCCCGACGTCTGCAAAGATGTGGACTTGGACGTCCTTGTGGAAGCCTTGAAGCCCGTGGGAACCTTTAAGAAGATAGGCAAGGTGTTCCGCCGGGAGGAGGACTCCACCGTGGGGATGCTGCAGATTGGGGAGGATGTTGACTATCTGCTCATCCCCCGCGAGGTCCGGCTGGCTGGGGGCGTCTGGCGGGTCATCTCCAAGCCAGCCACCAAGGAGGCGGAATTTCGCGAGCGCCTCACCCAGTTTCTGGAGGAAGAGGGCCGCACCCTAGAGGACGTAGCCCGCATCATTGAAAAGAGCACTCCGCACCCGCCCCAGCCCTCCAAAAAGCCCCAGGCTCCCCGTGTGCAGAGGAGAATCCAGCAGATGGTGATCCCTCCGCCCCGGCTGGTCGTGGGCACGTATGACAGCAGCAATGCCAGTGACAGCGAGTTCAGCGACTTCGAGACCAACAGGGACAGGAAGGGTGATCACAGCTCGAGGCGGACCCGGAGAGTTCGGAAAATGCCCGTCAGCTACCTGGGCAGCAAGTTTCTAGGAAGCGACCAGGAGAGCGGGGACGATGAGGAGTTAGTGGAGGCCTTCCTGCGCCGCGGGGAGAAGAAGCCCAACGCAGCCCCTGCACGCCGCAGGGTGGCGGTGCCCGTGCCTGTAGTCGAGGATAACCCGCCCCAGCGTTCTAAGGCCGACAGGTGGCGCGAGTATGCCAGTCAGGTGTCTTGGGGGAGGCTGAAGCGCAGGGTGAAAAGCTGGGCGCCCAGGTCCTTCCCTGGGGTGGGCGAGGCCCAGTCAGCCGTGTCCAGGGTGGAAAGTGATAGGACATCAGGACCGAGCCGCCCGTGTGAAAGTAGGGAAAATGCAGGAGATGGGCGGGGAACTGGGACCCCCCCACGACGATGGAGGCCCAAGATCAATTGGGCCTCGTTGAGGCGTCGCAGGAAGGAAGATGCAGCATTTATAGCTCAGGGGGCAGAGGTCCCAGCCGGAGAGCCTGAGGTCCCAGCTGGCCAGGATGCAGTGGTCCCCGCTGGCCAGGAGGTGGCGGTCCCTGCTGGCCAGGGGGCAGGGGTCGAAGCTGACCAGGAGGCAGAGGTCTTGGTTGGCCAGAGGGCAGAGGTCGATGCTGACCAGGTGGCACAGGCAGACCAGAGGGCAGGGGTCCTGGCTGACCAGAGGGCAAGGGTCCCGGCTGACCAGAGGGCAGGGGTCCTGGCTGACCAGGGGGCAGAGATCCCAGTTGACCAGGGGGCAGGGGTCCCAGCTGACCAGGGGGCAGAGATCCCGGTTGACCAGGGGGCAGGGGTCCCGGCTGACCAGAGGGCAGGGGTCCCGGCTGACCAGAGGGCAGGGGTCCCGGCTGACCAGGGGGCAGGGGTCCTGGCTGACCAGGGGGCAGAGATCCCGGCTGACCAGGGGGCAGAGATCCCGGCTGACCAGAGGGCAGGGGTCCCGGCTGACCAGGGGGCAGAGATCCTGGCTGACCAGCGGGCAGAGGCCCCAGCCATCCAGGAAGCCTCCGGAGCACTCCCAGGAGCCAGGGCTCAAAAACATGTCAAGACAGTGAGGTTCCAGACTCCTGGACGTTTTTCATGGTTTCGCCTCCGCCGGAGAGCCTTCTGGCACACTCCAAGGCTGCCAACCCTACCCAAGAGAGTCCCCAGGGCAGGCGAAGCCAGGAGCCTCAGGGTGCTGAGGGCAGAAGCCAGAGCCGACGCAGAGCAGGCAGATCAGGAAGACCAGCTGTGAAGGCAAGGGTCCTGCCGAGCACCCCTTGTTGCATATTGACCACTTGTGTGTGCCTCTCCCAGACCTGGAATGAGATGATTTCACTTTCTGTCTCTGCACCTGAAAATCCCAGGTGGAGAGAGGGCAACTCACCCCTCCACCTGAGAACCTTCTTCCTTTTCCTGTTAACATTTCTCTTTTGTGCATTCATTTTTTTATACCCACCCCTTATAGCAGCTCAAGGGATGTAATGGTTAAAAAAAAAAAAAAAATCGATACAAAGGGGTTGTAATACATGGACTTTTAATATCCTTAATAGGTGCTCATTTAAAAGAGAGAAATGGAGGTGAAATTAACGTCACACGTGACAGTTAACATCTTGAATTTCAAGAGGACTCTAGCCTATCTGCAAGTGAAAAAATGTTTAAAACAACAACAAAAACAACCCGTGTCTTGGTTGTGGACTTGGCAACTGAAAATCTTGTGCTACTTTGTCATGTGGTTCACTGTGTTTCTCACTCCCACCCCCCACTATATTGTCAACGGTAATGACCATGATTACTTTGCTCCTCCTGGCTCCGGTTTAGAGGGCATAGGGTGCTTGAACCCATCCATGGTAGTGATGAATTTCCTGCATAAAAACCTCTGAACATGTGTTTAAAATGCAGATTCCTGGACCCTTGGCCCTCCCTCGCCCCCAAGGTGTGGATTGGCTAGTATGGCCCAGAAATCTGTTTTGATCCAGCCCATAAACTTCACCTAGGACAATGTAACACTTGTGCTATTCACTGCATACGTGGACATATAGCATAGGAATAGGCCAAAATGGTGTGTGTGTCGGGTAGAGGGCGTCAGGTAGCATGCTGATATTAATAATGGGATTGTAATGTATGTTATGACATACTTATCTGGGAGAAATTTGGAGGCTCCATGGGACTGAGAGAAAGCTGAGGGACATCTCTCTCTACTGTCTTATGCCCGCCCATCTCACTCCAGCAGTGAAAAACCCAGCAAGTGACCTCAAAGGAGCCTAGTTAGAGGAGGTAGAGGACAGAGACAGTAGGCTGATTCTGCCTTCCTGTTTATGTCTGTCTGCAGGCCTTGCCTCGATTCTCACCCCCGACCCTAATGACTTATGTTGTTGGTAAGTGCCATTAAGTCTTGTGTAGGGTTTTCAAGGAGCGACTGGTGCATTTGAACTGCCGACATGGCGGTAAACAGTCCAGTGTGTATCCTGCAGTACCACACCAGGACTCGAAAGAATTGCGTTATTACTAAGTGCTAATACGTCGATTCCCACTCATAGCAAATCTCTGTAGGAGCAACTGGTGGATTTGAACTGTCAACCTTGTGGTTCACAGTCCAGTGCTGATCATAATACAGTACCACACCAGGACCTCAAAGAATTAAATCCCTCTCTTATTCTTCAATAGTCCCTTTGTTGTTGTTAAGTGCTGTTAAGTCAATTCTGACTCATAGTGACCCTATATAGGGTTTCTGAAGAGCAGCTGGTGAGCTTCAAACCGATCTTGCCGTCCAGCGCATTAACCCGCAGTGCCACCAGGTCTCCTCAACAAGCTGTAGGTGGTGCAAATTGTCAATCATTTGACTACTAACTTAAGGATTGGCAGTTCAGACCCACCCAGAGGCACCTGGGAAGGTAGACCAGGTGATCTTCCGAAGAACTCGGAGTCAACTCCACAGTAACTGGTTGGTTGCTCATTTCCGTTTTTCTTTTTCCTGCTCTGTTTTCTAACGGAACTGGCTACTGATGCCACAGGTCTTGCTGCACGCTGTTACATGTCGCAACCTAGAGCTGTGTGCTTGATGGTGTGGCCCACAACAGGCAACCAGGTGGCAAAGGGCCTGAAGCAGTTTGTAAGAGAGTCAAGACTTGGATCCCACCCGTAGGTAGGTGGGCACTGAGTAGAGGAATGGTGTGTGCTGGGGGCAGATATCACCAAGCCAGGTGGGGAGGCCGGGAGTGGGGGAAGGTTATCCTTTGCTTTCTTCACCTCGGAGAACAGGACCAAGGGGGCCTGGCTAGTCTCTTTGGGAATCTGGAAGGTGAGGGTAACATGAGCAACAGAGACTATGGGAGAGTCAGATAGGAGAAAGGTAGGACTCGCCGAGGAGCGTTTGCTGGAAGCTGTGCCTTGTTTTAGTCAATAAAGTCTGCTTGAAGCCATCCCAGGCTGTATGCATCTCTGCCCTTCCTCGGATGACTCACGGGGTGTGTGTGTGTGTTTGAGGGGGCGCTTGGAGGAGGGTAGACTCTGAACAATGGGGACAAGATGGATCAACATGAAACTGCACGGCTCTCAAATACTGGGGGTGGTTCACACTCATTGCAACACACAAACACGCACACAACATACAAGCATGTCTCCAACAGGCACATGCTTGCATGCACAGACATTAACACACAGGGAGGCTCAGATACAGACACGCACAGATAGACATGTAACCACAGCACACACTGGGATGCACACACACAGGGACATGCATATACACCCACAGTGCAGACATGACCACGGCATAATGCACACACACAGGGACATGCATATACACCCACAGTGCAGACATGACCACGGCATAGAAAGGGACACACAGCACATACATAGACCCACAGCTCACGTAGGGACACACACACATGCGCCCAAATTTGGCACACACTGGCAAACAGACACTCCCAAACACAGGTATATTGTTAATCCACCACCACCCACACAACCACACGGACACACGTACAACTCATGGGCCCACATACCCAGGGTGGAGATTTTACTTTCCCGCTGCAGGCCCCCATCCCTCACATTTATAGATGCTCTCATTCATACACCCTCATACTTTTAAGTTCTAACATACCCACTCCCCAGGACCTCCAGGGGTGCAGTGGTTAAGGGCTTAGCTGCTAACCAAAAGGTCAATGGGTCAAATCCACTAGCCACTTAACTCCTCAAGTGGAAGATGAGGCAACCTGAGTCTGTAAAGATTTATAACTGTGGAAACCTTTTAGGGCAGTTCTACTCGGTCATATAAGGAGCTCTGGTAGCGTAGTGGTTACGAATCAGGCTGCAAACCTCAGAGTCAGCAGTTCAAAACTACCAGCTGTTCCGGCTTTCTGCTCCTATAAAGATTTACAGCCTCAGAAACCCTGTACAGGGTTGCTATGAGTCGGAACCAACTTCACGGCACCTAACAACAACAACTTGGCCATCTAGGGTCATTCTGAATCCGAATCAACTTGACGATAGTGGGACACCCACTCAGGACACCCACACACTGCTAGACACACTTAGATACATTTAACTATATACACACACTCATGGGATCACTCAAGAACCAACCCGAGACACATTCTGGCAGGAACACACACATCAGACACTCACTTCGGCTGAGGAGCCCCCCAAACTGGAAAAACAGCCTCAGTTTGTTGCTCCTTCAAATGGACACAACCAAGGCTGCCTTCCTATCACCAGCAGCATCCACTGGAGTTGACAAGTCCAACTTTGGGTTCCTAGGCTAACCAGACCCCAACCTGATCTGTGATGTGTCTCAGAGAACTGTCCGCTGTTGCTTAGTGCTGTAGAGTTGGGTCTGACTCATAGCCACCCTGTATAGAGTTTCCAAGTAGCGGATGGTGAGTTTGAACCACCAACCTTGTGGTTCAAACCGACTTTGTGATTCAGTACTTCATTCCACAGTGCTGGGCTTTTTAAAAACACAGATTGCCTGGGACCCCACTGGAATTGTCTCTGATTCAGGAGGTCTGGTATGGGCTGCATTTCTAGAAGGTTCCCAGGTGATGCTAATGTTGCTGGTTCCTGGATCTCACTGGAGAACCACTGCCTACAGCAAAGGCCACTTGCCACTGTCTGCCCATTCCCAGGCCTGTGGAACTTTGAGGCTCTGGGTCAATGCTATTGGCTTGTCTTTTACCAGTGGTCCTGGAGTGCCCCTGGGTGGGCACTGAGGACACTGCCATGCGTGCGCATTGATGTTTCCTTGGGTTATCAGGACTGTCCGCGGAAACCCTACTTTAACTTTTAAGTTGTTCTATGACCTGGCGATATTCCCAAGAGTCTCAGGATGTGCCTGGGCGGTACAGCCTCTGAGAGTCAGGGGAAAATGTAGTAGAGGAGGGCCTTGGGTTATGGGATCAGGACTGAGGAGACGGCAGCCATGCTAAGAGCCTTGGAGGAAGATGGAACTTGGGTTCCAGGTTGTGCCCTCAGTTTCCTTATCTGTGAAATGGGCACAAGAACCAGGCTTCATTTTGTTCCCCCAAACCTACGCTCTTCTCCACAGTCCCATAGTTACACACACATAGACCAAGACACACAAACTCCCACACATACAACCACAGCCCACGGAGACACGGCAGAGATTGCGCCAGCAGGGATGAACACACACGGACACACACATTACGCCTGCCGGTCCTCTAATAGCCACATCTATTCTGGGACAACCCCCTGGCCAGAATGACCTGCAGGTATGTGATTCAAAAACGGACTCAAATGTAGCAATGTGTATGGTACAGTACCAGGCGGTGTATGGGTCTGTCGTACATGCGGTCAGTGCGAGTCAGAATATACGGAATCTGACAACAGCCATGTGGTATAAACCTTAACCTACTTGGCCAATAACAAGAGGCTGAAAATTCGAATCCTACCAGAGGCACTCAGTTGTTAAAAACTCCATGGAGTTATGTTCCTTTAAGAATTATTTACAGGTGTATGTGTTTCAAATTGATAACATCAACTTGAAAAATTAGATAGGAACTTTAGAAGGGGCAGTGAGTTTATGTTAGTGGGGGAGAAGCAACTCTGAAAATGCTGGGGGAGAATAGTTGCATAAATCTAAGAATGTCATCAGGGTTACTATAGAAACTGTTGGATTGGTGTGTGTTCTGCTGTGTATATTCTTAACACCACCAACAAAAGGCACTGGACCGCAAGGTCAGCAGTTCAAACTCACCAGAAAACTCCTCGGAAACCCTATACAGAGTCGCTATGAGT